CTTAGAGAAACAAATATGTATCAATCAATTAACACACTCAGGTATAACTTTTACATCACATGAACTAAGTATCTCAGATAAATCATTTTAAAAGCCACAAATTATATGATCAATATTTCTAAATATTTTTGTATGTATGTATCGTGTTCAAGTAATAGAAAGATTGACACTGCAAATATTTTTTCAATATTATTACATGTAAGAGCAACATTAATTTTAGTTCTACCATTGTCACAAAAAATATATTATATATTTACAAATTGTGTACTAATCTTATATTACTAAGTAAATTATTACAATATTTGAATTATCAAGTAATATTTAATTCTTCTCATAGTAATTTTTAGGATTAGAATTCAAAAAAATCATTGGACGCACTAAAAACAGAAATAGACTCTATTACTTGAATTCATGCTATTATTATTGATCTCATTTACAAATTCGACTTCATCATAAAAGATGTGGAGACTCATCATTTTCTATCTTAAAAGTGATGTATTTATTTTCTTGAAGTGTTCATATAAAAGTTAGATTTCTTTAACATGTAAAATAATTTATACTTGTGTGTTTATGTATGCTTTCATTATTATTGAAACTCAACTTAATATTGCCTAAGTAAGAGACTATAGAAATTTATGACCTTTTATTTAATTATAAATTTATAATTTATTAAAACGAACTAAAAATTATGGTTTTACCTATAATTAAGTAATTATTTGTCTTTAAAAAATAATCAATTATATTATTAAAACAAAATTCACACCAACATCTCATAATACTAAAAGATATTGATAAACGGCTAAACAACGACAACTTTATAATAAGTTTTTTTGTCTTAGTCATATTAAGAGATATTATTATTATTATTATTATTATTATTATTGAGGAAGTAAAAAGTTTTTTGTTAGTGTAAGGGGAGAAGTAAAAAATAAAAACAAAAGAAATTTAGATGCCACATTTGGTGTATTTGCCACCTTACAAGATGTCCATTCAATTCTCCATTTTTTTCTCGGAGAGTTGTAATAACCAAAAGTCTTTCCCCTCTCCACCTTTCTCCTTCCTCCAAAAAGCTCTCCATGCTCGCTTTCTCTTTTCTTTTTCAGAAGAAAAAAAGAAAAATTTCTTTTAACTCTGTATTCCCTCGGTAGGGTCCTTCAATTTTCTTGAAGGACCCACCATCCCTTCTCAAATCTCTATATATATATATATATATATATATATATATATATATACATACACAATATACACCTATATTCTGCAATTTTCCCTTTTTTTCTTTTTGAATTTTCGTGACAGCCAAGCATGAATTGCTTTCCATGTTTCTCATCGCAGAGAAGCAAAAAAAGCAGTAGCAAGAGAGAGCCTGCGTCTCCTTCCAAAGACGTCAATGAATCCTCCACTCCTGGTACTGCATGCTTGATTTTCTTTAATTTATAATTTTCTCTTCCAATTTAAAAAAATTATTATTGGGTTTAATTAATTGATTAATTTTTTATAGATATTAAGCGGCAAAAACCAGGGGGTAATGATGAAGGAAATAATAATACTCCTGTACAAACCTTTACATTTCGCGAGCTTGCAACAGCAACCAAGAATTTTCGCCAGGAATGTTTGTTGGGTGAAGGTGGATTCGGACGTGTTTATAAGGGCACAATTCAATCGACCGGCCAGGTTATATTAATATAATATACACCATGATGATCATGATCTTGCATGCATACACATATAAATTTTTTTTTACATAAATGTATATATATATATATATATAGGTAGTGGCTGTGAAGCAACTTGACAGGAATGGACTGCACGGAAACAAAGAGTTTGTTGCAGAAGTATCGAGGCTAAGTCAGCTTCATCATCCAAATCTTGTTAATCTGATTGGATACTGTGCAGACGGCGATCAGAGGCTTTTGGTTTTTGAATATATGCCAAAAGGCTCCGTAGAAGATCAGCTTCTGGGTAACCCTAATCTCTTCTTCTTCTTGTGTTTATATATATGTATATATGCATTCATATATGTTGATGTACAAATGAAAGTGTAGATATAAAAAGCGAGGGGAAGGCATTAGATTGGGAAACTCGGATCAGAATAGCATACGGTGCAGCTCAGGGATTGGAATACTTGCATGAAAAAGCAAATCCTCCGATTATATATGGAGATTTAAAATCTTCAAGCATTTTATTGGATGAAGAAATGAAAGCAAAGCTTTCAGATTTTGGAATGGATAAACCTGGAGATCATAAAATGCCAATTTCATCTCGAGTCATGGGTACTTATGGTTACTGTGCTCCAGAATACGCCAGAGGTTCTCAACTCACTGTTAAATCTGATGTTTATAGCTTCGGAGTTGTCTTGCTCGAACTCATCACTGGTCGAAGAGTTATAGATACCACTAAACCCCCTGATCAGCAAAACCTAGTTTCATGGGTATATGTATATATATTTATCCATATATATGTGTGTGTACTTTTTTTTTACTTCAGCACCTCATCTCTATATATATGCATGCAGGCACAACCCATATTCAGAGACCCTAAGAGGTTTCCTGACATGGCGGATCCTCTTCTCCATAGGAAGTTTCCAGAGAGAGATTTGAATCAAGCAGTCGCCATTGCAGCCATGTGTCTGCAAGATGAAGCAACTGCTCGTCCCTTAATAAGTGACGTTGTAACAGCTCTCAGTTTCTTATCAATGGAGTTTAAACCTGTTGTTGATGATCATAAGTTTGATCGCCATGATTATCAACAACAAGAAACTAGTACTCTAACTTCAGACGAAAACCCTAATTCAATATCCAGTGATGAAGAAACAAGAAGAAACAAGAACAAAATAACCAGCAGCCGGAAAGGAATTACTTCTTTCGGTCGGAAAAGCAGCAAGAACTCTTTCTTCTCGCTGAGTCAAAGAAGCAGCAGCAAATCACAATCACAATCAGAATCACAATCAAATGATGAAACTACCAACGATTCTGATGATGATCAAAGTGTTAATTCTTCAAACAAAAAATTACCTGCAGAAACTTACGAACAACACCAAAGTGATGATGATGATGATGATGATGATTCTGAATCTCCAGACAGAACCAGCAGTAGCTATAGAAAACAAGAAACAAACAACGGATCAGAAAAACAAAGTACAGTTTGCTTAGATGAGGATGAGGATGATGATGATGACCAAAATAGTGGGTCAGATCACGATGGGAGTGTTTATTCATCATGACTTTTCTCCCTCCAATAATATTTCTTTTATTTTCATATTTTAATTTCTAACCAAATTTGTCTTACATTGATTTTATTAAAAGGGTTATTACGTATGCCAATAGGAGGTTTAATTGGAAACGTATTTTGGACATTACATACATTATCGAATTCCATATATCACATATATAATACATATATTATGTGTGTATCTGTATGTATATATGAGGTCAATCGTTATAACATATACTTTTTTTCCTTTTTCAGTTTGTAGTATGTATAAACCCCAAAAAAGAAATTATTTCCTTTCGTTACGAGTAAGTATAGTATATATTATACATACATATATAGCACAATTATAACTTGTTAAGAGAGAAGATGTTAAGTTGCCATAATTTCTTAAAGAGCTATCGTTTCTATAAGAACATTACAGCTAGTACTATAAGTTGAATTTCCGTTGCTTAGACATTTTAAAATATCAAAAATATTTTGTTCACTGAGTATTATTAGATGTATATACAAATTTTCAGCTTATAACCTATATAACTTGATCTCCATTTGGTAATTTCCAACTTCAAAAACCTGAACAAACTTTAAAGAATAAGAATTAGTATCGTTACATAATAAGATATAAGATCAACAATGTATTATAGATAACAAAATTTAAAAGGATAAGATGTATACTTGAAATACTTCAAATTAAAAATATAAAAGATTGACAAAGTTTTTAATCTCACATTAACCAAATTAAAGAATATGATATATATAAAGTAGGAACATAAAACAAATGGAAGTTCAAAGATATTTTTTGGCTTCAATAGAAATTATCCAAATTAAAAATTAAAAATACTATACAAGTTAAATTAAAATCACTTACCAAGTGACTCTAACAGAAAAAAAATCAAAGGGTCATCTCATCTCCTTATAGAATCTTAATCTAATCCACATTTAACACTTGAACCTATACAAAATGTTTATTATCAAATTCGCAACATTAGCATGTGAGAAGAACAAATATTTATTACAAACTAAGATGAGCCATGATCAAGAATGGCAAGGCGAGGCAATAAAGAAACAAACTACAGCAATTAGCTACATAATAGAAGTAATTGTACTGGGCAAAGTGTAAAATAATCGAATTTGTAAATAATTTAGAAATTTCTATTCTTCACTATTCAGAGGTATAATTATATCACAAAAAAAGAAATAAAAATTATTACACAAAAAATCAACTAATCATATTCTTATAATTATGATACTAATTTAGTAATTTATAACACTAATTTACAACACTAATATAATAATTTAGCAATTAATATAATAATTTATAACACATGTCAACACTCCCCCGCATGTTAGAATATAGATGTCTATCATGCCCAATTTGTTGATCATTTTAGAAAATCTCTTTCCAGTAACTATTTTTATGAGAATGTCAGCTAATTGATTTTCAAATTTGACAAAGGAAAAATGTATAATCTTTTGATCCAACTTTTCTTTTATGAAGTGTTTATCAATCTCAACATGTTTAATGCAATCATATCGTATAGGATTTTGTGAAATCTCAATAGCAGTTGTATTGTCAGAATAAAGACTCACAGGTTTCTCATATTTAATTCTCAAATCTTCTAAAATACTCTTGATCCATAACAATTCACATATTCCATGAGCCATTCCTTAAAGTTCAGCTTATGCACTTGATCTTGCCACAAACGTTTATTTTTTGCTTTTCCCTGTGACCAAGTTACTTTTCACAAAAGTAAAATAACTAGAAGTGGATCGTCTAGTCATTTGATCACCTGCCCAGTCATCATCTATGTATCTTTTAATTATTGAGGAGCTATTTTTTTAAATTAATAAACCTCTGTTGGGAGTACCCTTTAAGTATATCAAGATTCAGTACACTACATTTAAATGATCTTCGCTTTGTGCATGCATGAATTGACTCACGACACCTACAACATATGCTATATCTGAGGTCCTTCATTTCGAATCAAAAATCAAATACTCCTATAATAATTTCAATCATAATAATCATCTTCTGTTAAGGCCATGTCATCAACGTACACAATTAAAATCATTACATTTCCTTCTTTATGTTTTATAAACAAAGTATGATATGAATTACTTTACTTATAAACAAAAGCTTTCACTGATGCAAAAAACCTTCCAAATCATGCTTTTGGTGACTGTTTAAATCCATATACTGACTTTTTTAATTTACAGACTTTATTTTTGCTTAAAGAATTTTGTATAAATTCTGGTAATAGATCCATATAAACTTCTTTTTATAAGTTTCAATTAAGGAATGCTTTCTTAATATCAAATTATTGTAAAGACTAGTTTCGATTTACTGCTATAGATAAGAGAATGCGAATTATATTCAGTTTAGCTACTAGTGCAAACGTCTCTCAGTAATTCACCCCATACTTCTATGTATACCCTTTTGCAACTAGTCTCGCTTTATATCGATCGATACTTCAGTCTGCTTTAAGTTTCACTGTGTACATTCATCTATGTTCAATAGTCTTTTTCCCGTTGGGTAATGAAATTAGTTCCCAAGTAGAATTTTTCTGCAAAGCCTCCATCTCCTCATTCATTGCCTTTTTCCACTTTGGATCCTGCAATGCATCCTGCACACTACTCGGAATAGAAACTTCAGATAATTGATTAATAATAAGTGAATATAACTCAGAAAACTTATAAGTAGAGACATAATTGTTAATAGAATATTTAACTTTGGCTTTAGGATCGGGTTCATATTGCTTCTCTAGAACATATTTGTTAGATCTTTGTGGATATCTAAGAGTCATAAATTTAAAAAAAAAATATTTGTTTCATTAGATAAAGGATTTAGAATTACCTGAGGCGAAGTATTCTGGATATTCTGAGTTAATTTTTCAGTTAATGGTGTTATCAAAAGCAAATATGCAATTATTGGTAATTTTGACATATTTTTAAAAGGAATCATCAGTTCAGTATCATTCTTTGCCAAATTTTCTTGACTACTTCTCCCAACATTTTCATACATTTTTTTCACCTAAAAAAACATCTTCATCTCTTTTACTGTAATTTTTTTGTAACACATTCTCTTCCTCAGATTTCTCCCCCTGAAGAGAAGGTGCATGAACTCCTCCTGAGTAATAAAGTTTTGCCTTGCGAAAATATGCACCCAATGTCACATGTAATTTCTAAGGTTGAGGGTCATAATACCAATTTTCATTCTAAAAATCAAAATAACCAATAAAAACACATTTTTTGCACACAAATCAAGTTTATTTCGGAGATTTTTAGGAATGTGAACATAGAGAATATATCTAAAAACTCTTGATTCAAAATTTGGAACATGTGGAATAGAGAAAAAAGATTGCATCTTTTGTTGTGGTGTTTGAAAATTCAATACTTTGGAAGGTGTCCGATTGATTAAATAAGCAACAAATTTTATAGTCTCACCCCAATAAAATAGATGCATGTTCATACCAAAAAGTGATGCATGAACCACCTTTATTATCAGCCTATTCTTCCTCTCCGCTAACCCGTTGTGTTGCAGAGTATATATGCAAGAGGTATGAAGTTGAATACCTTTTTAACTCAGAAAATTTTTAAACTTTGCTTTAACAAGCTCTTTTGTGTTTTTAGATTGTCAAGCATGAATCTGACGTTGATATTAAGTTCCCATTAAACTATAAATGTTTGAAAAACTGTAAAAATATCACTTTTTCTCTAAATTAAGGAAACTCAAGTCATTCTAGTACATTTATTAATGAATTTAATAAAATATAAAACTTTAAATAGAGAAAGAACCTTTGTAGGACCCTAAATATCAGAATTTATGGCAACAAAAGGTTCAGAACATTTATTCATACTAGGTAAGTGAGTAATAGGATGACTTTTAACTAGTTCACAAATATCACAATGAAAATCATATACATCAAAGTTAAAAAATGAACGTGGTTGCAATTTTTAAAGATATATAAAAGAAATATGCCACAATCTTCTACACCATGACTTTTAACTAGTTCACAAATATCACAATAAAAATCATATACATCCAAGTTTAAAAATGAACATAGTTGCAATTTTTAAAGATATCTAAAAGAAAGACGCCTCAATCTTCTATGCCACAACCATATAGTTGTTCGAGTTTTCTCTTCACTACTAATTTGACTTACATAACTAACTTTTTGTTCTCCATTTTCAATCAATTCCAAGTAGTAGAGTTTGTCTCGCTTACACCATAATCAAGAATCTTTTAGGTCAGAATATCTTAAAATATATAAAAAGAAGGCCAAAAAGTTACTGTACAATCGAGGATATGGTAATTTGGCTCACAGATAAAAAGTTATACTCAAGAGATGAGACAATAAGAACTGTATCCAAAGTGAGCGTATTGACAAAATATTATATCATTCTTCAGTAATAGGAGTTGTACTTTCATTAGCTGTAGACATAATGGATTGAGAAGATGAACGAATGGATTGTAACTAACTAGTGTCTCTAGTCATATGATTAGATGCACCTGTATCAATAATCCAAGTTATATTCTTAGAAGTTGTAGAAAAGAAATTTTCTTAGTTAATAATACATGAGTGAGCAACATTTGCTATAGGCTGTAAATTATCCTTCGTATTATATTAAACTTCCTTAGACGATGTCATCATAGCTTTCTCTACAATCATTTTCTGTGATTTCTTTGAGAAATTTCACCATTCAGGATAACTAATGATTTTATAACATTTTTGTTTATAATGTTTTACGACAATGACGGCATATAAAATTATTGGACTTTCTAAAAGATTGATTATTTCGAGTTTTTGCTGACGTCGAGGATGATCCATGCAATTTTTTGTTGGCAAGAATGACTGAGCTTTTTGAGATCACTCGAGAACCTCCCATTGTCTGTCGTTATTGGTAGTCTTTTCTTATATATGCACCCTCTAAATCCAGTTTTAGATGTTTTCACAAGATTTCTTCACGAACCTGATTAAATTCAGAATCAAGTCCACTTAAAAAAATATGAACTCGAAGTCTAGCTATTATAGAATGCAACTGGATAACTCTTTCAACTCTTTCTGCTTGAGAAGTAGTCTTATGATAAATTTTTTGAAACATAACAAAAAATTTATTATAGTAAATAGACAGTGGTCTACCATTTTATAATGTAAAAAAAAGTCTTTTAGTTTAACTCAAATAGACGGGTTTCATCTGATCCATCATAAAAAGTCCTTGATATAATTTTCCATATTTTCTTGGATGTGGGAAGGCGAATAAATCACTGCATAAGGGATGGACTCATTGAGTCAATAAGCCAACTATTTACTTTCTAATTCTCGATGACACATGTTTTGTAATTGGGGTCTTCGGTTGCAAACTTTTTCGTTTCTCCATTAGATAACCAGTT